GCTCTATCTGTAACACTGCAGGGTATGTACTGTATGTGTGTTGTGTTGGGTGGGCGTTACGCACGTATAGATGGAGCCTAGCGAGGCAGGATTTAATGTTTTTTTCATGGCATTATGTACCAGTTATTATAGGCTAGTCATATATAAATGCCGACTTGAAACATGTAGTATGATTTACTAACTAAATTAAAATATATATATATATATTTTAATTTTTCAGTAAACGTGTGAATCTTGCAAGTTGCAGTTACCTTGCTAAAATTCTATGTTCTTTGATGAGATGTAATAAATCAACCGTAGCCTCTAACATGCCAATAAACCAAGCAAAGCCTTCTTGACTGCTGCCAAGAACGCTTTAATAGCTAAATGCTAAATAAATAATAATATTTATAAATTTATATTTTAGGCCAACTGCAATGTGTAAACAAATGTAAAATTGTTAAATAAAAGTAAACAAATTGATGAAAATTGTTTGTTTTCGTCATTTTGTGTAATACTTTCATGTTGCACAGCGTGTTGCAAGGCGTCACAGCGCGTCGCTACAGGAGGCGATAGCTTCATGAAAAAAATCTCCCTATTTTTTGGTTTTCAAACTTGGGATCTCTGGTGTTGAGTGGATGAATCCTTACCTCTAGCAAAGGATGAAGTTGTTTGAGTGTCGAATGGATGTGGTCACTCTCTGCTTCAATATAAGCTGCCACACACTCTTTGAACAATGAGCTAGACATCTCACATAGTTTGGGTAGTTCATCTTTTAGCTGGATATTCAAAGCCTCATAGTTCTTACGTGCAACCTCCTTTTCATCTGTCACCTAACGAAATTGAATAAATTTCTTGAAAGTTAAATAATACTAAATACCATAACAACAGTGATAATGATAACATAATAGTGTTCGAATGATAACAACAATAATAATAACAATTAGCAATAAAAATAATAATATTAACAAAAACCACAACAATAATATTAATGTTAAAATATCAATAATGACAATAACAATATGTGGAGGTTATGGGTTTGATTCCCACCCAAATCACTTGCAAGATTATTTTTGAAAGTGTTTGGGAACTTACTGAGCATTCAGTAGAATAACATGTGGTGGGCCTAAAACATCATTCCTGTTCTATTTTCCGGATGCAAACACCATCACAATAATAACAATAACAAAAGGATAGTAGGTTATAAGTCAAAATTTGTATATAAAACCATACAATCTAATTTCTACATCACAAAAAGACATAGCATAGAGCAAGGAATACAATACTCATGTACAAAGTTAACGGCTGCACTGAACATAAATAAAAAAAAAATATATATGACACTTTCAGGTCAAAAATAAACAATAAATTAAATATCCGCATAACAAAAATCAAAACCACTAAATCACATAAGACAAATACTAAATGCCCATGTATTATTATTACTATTACTTTTTACCATTATGAATAAGAATATTATTTTATTACTACTGTAATTATTGTCATTAATATTTACATTATAATCTAAAGATAAGCTATGCTGACACTAGCCATGTATAACTTCATTCTAAATGTTACACAAATTAGGGCCGTGGTTACGGACTGGTTAATTTTAAGCAAAGCTGGGGTGCTGATTGGTGGAGCTGGCTTAACTCGGGACATAAACTTCAATCTCCCTATCCTAATGCACTACGGCAAGTAGTGGAAGAATAACCATTTCCACAAATAATGAGTCCTCGCATTTTAGACCATGCGTCAATTTCAAATGATTGATCCGTTGGCCACAATTTAATTTGTCAGATGTCAGTGCCCATTGGAGTAGGCATTAAAGCTCAAAACAAAGGTCAAACACATAGAGGCTTTATGCATTATGTGTTCTATAAATCCATATTTATTGTTATAATAAATTCTTATTTATTATTATTGTAATGGCCTGCTGTTAATGCCTACCACAAATAATAAAATCTTTGTATATATAATAGAATCTATGTATTGACAACAGTATACATATAAGTTGCACTAATTACAAGCAAGAGCATAAATAAGAGTATTGTCTACACAGTTTATCAGGGATAACAGCTTTTTTCCTGTTAAAATTCAACACAAAGGCTACTTTACAAGACATGTAAACACACTACATATTTTAAACTGATTATACATGTACAAATAAAAAATTGAGCACACAGAGAAAGCAGACACAAAATACATTCATCAATGCAATATATCGTTAACAATGGACCTTCCTGATAAAGCTCCACCCCTTAGATACTGTTAGTAAGTTCTCACAAAGTGTAAACCAGTGGTGGACATAAAAATCGGTCGGAGAACCAAGATGAATTTTTGATTTAACACCGAGGGCCACACCCAAACTTTGATGTTTCCAGTGTGCTTCCAAAAACCTTAAGGCATTGCCACATGCAGCCCACCGGCCGCACTTTGCCCACCTGCGGTTTAAGCATATGCAAACACAAGGGTCTGTGGACCAACACATGTGTTTGTGGTACAAACAAAAATTCCTGGCTCTGTTTTGATTGGCGAGCCATTTGCTTGATTGACACTCGGGAAAGTCCATTGGTCAAGAAGCTAAGACAAAAACCAGCATGCATCAGGACAAGCTCACAACTGACACAAACCTCTCTTGACTTTTTACGAACACAATTGCCATCAACATCTTCCTCAAATTCTTCCTTTAGTCGCTCTATCTTATCCTTTTGTCTCTGCAGCCACAATTTACAGGACAAGGAAGTAAAGAAAAAAAGGTTTTTTTCTTTTCTTTAAACGTTAAACACATGAACACAAATACAGTGCTGAAAGTGTGTGTGTGCTTTAAAGCAAACAGTTACACTGTGATTGTAGGAAGACATTTAGTTGATATATTTAGCAAATTTTGATTAAAGTACAACTTACCATGAAATCAAATGAATTTAGCATTTGAATTTTGTAATTGGAGGATAAGTGGTATACCTACAATGGTCATGACTGGGCTCAAAGCTAGTTTTCATAAAATTGCTACTCATCTTTCCCAAGTGCTGCCAGGCACACTCTAACACCAGATATAGTATGGATCATGCCAACTACTATACCAAGCACAGAAAATAGAAAACCTCTGGCTGAAGATTATTATTAAATCCTACCCCTTTCCAGTCGTATGGCATGGTGACAACGTCCTATTTGACCCTACTTTATAGCGAGGGGCGTCATACGCATGCCCTGTATGCATTTCGTAATTATTTGTTTTCTAGCTACGCTGCCCCCTATATAATTGTTTAAGAGTGATGTAGGAGTATGTATGAAGTGTTTCCTGTATTCAGACCAAATAAAATGGCTGTGTCCAGTGAAAACACGACATTTAGTGTAGATAATGTAATTTTTCAGCTTTGGGAAAAGCCTAAGTTAAGGTAATGGGACAGACTGGAAAGGGTTAAGCTAGGCCTACCTTGAGAGAGGGATGATTGTCTGTACACATCTTAAAGCCAGTCACTCACTGTGCCTGATGGTCATTGGCCAATGCGATTCTATAGAGAAGAGCCACGACGCGCGCAGCATTCAAAATGCACCCGACAACCAGCAAAGAACGTTGCATCGTCAAGCGATCACAGGGAGTGGAGTTGGAATGACGCACACATTCCCTGGCTTAAGGTTTATTCACAAAAATATCCATCGTTTTCACATCTATGCTCTATACAATCACTTTCACTCTGAATATACCTTTAAATTCCTATACAGACTGTATTCTCTTGTCATAGAAACATTGGATGGGTTTCGTAAATTGTTATCGAAATTCACCACTGTGCCGAAAACAAAATCAAGATTGAGATATTTGTGTAGGAGAGCTGATAATGTCAAATATATTCGCAGATGATTGATCAGTGGTTTACAATTCATCCCTGATCTGTCTCTGAACAGTTCTCCCTGACTAGCCTTAAATTACGATGTAATAAATGCAATGTAATTGGTTACTCCAAGTATTAGAACCTCCCTTACCCCTTTAAGTTTCTCCTTATCTTTGGTCTTTTCCACTTTATTAATACAGCTATCATAGTCTAGCAACTTGTCGTATCGTTTTTGGATGAGTTTATGTGGTCCCTGGAACATGATCAGCAAGAGATTTAGCGGCGAAATCACTCGTTGCTGGACAAACAAGGTCTGAAAACAGATTAGAATAATATAATATGATTATTATCAGAATCAAATTTGCCTCTCGGAAATCACAGTGGAATACAATAGTTCCAACATTTACAACATTAAAAAGAACATAAAAGGCTATAAACAATACAATCAAATCACAGTTCATCCATACATTCATAAAGGTATTTTATTCAAAATAATTGCATTTGAAGAAACAACTGGTAATTATAAACATGAGAGTGAGAAATTTTGACTAATTTTGTAAGGACAACAGGCACTACAACAAGACATCAGAGCTTAGCTAATTTTTAAATCAATACAAGATCAATGCGCTGGTTTCAATTGCACGCTTTTCTGTGGTTCTGGAGGTGGGAAAAGTCTTCTCAGATAAAGATAAGAACTACAAACCATAAGCCAGGTTTGCACTTGGCTCATGTGCACTATTATAAAGAACCCAATACATCTTCCGAGATGAGTAGGGGTTTGAGTAGGGGTTACCCCGGTGTACTGGTCCATACATCACCTGTTGTCTTGTGATGGGATTGTCACTTTGGAGAGTGATTTAGTTCACTATTTGGCATATCCTTGGCCCCAGTTCCTAAACATATAGTTTTTTAGTATGTTCTTACATAGTTTCTTAATATTAAATAATTATATATACTTAATAGTGTGTACTTACGTAGTTTTTGTAAAGCTTATTTGCTATCCTTTTCTGAACTGCTTCATATTTATTAACCTGTTTAAGATTGGATTGATTCGCATAATACTCAGATATGTCAGCTCCTACAATAGCTTCAGCAGCAGTTGCATCCTACAAAAAGAAAAACAAACATTTAGTAACATTATTGATTAAAAAACAATAGATGAAAACACTGCTGTTATGTGTTTTTTTAAAGCAATTATTACAACAATAACTATTAATAAATAATTGTTGTAATATACACTCTGTAAAACCAGACAAAAATGCTTAAATCACTGAAGAATGCTAATAAATTAGTAATTCACATTTTTTAACCATCAACCCTGTTAAAATATTAAACGAAAAACTTTTTTTTTTTTTTGTGATATGTATATAAAAAAATGTTTATCATGTTGTTGATATAGGCCCTGCCAGATTTCTAAATGTGATTTTATACCAAATATTTGCCCACAGATTTTGAACAGACCACAATGGTTGTGAGTGAGTGCCACTGATTTAAAAAAAAGTAATATATAATAATTAAATAAAATTATAAATCAATAATTATAAGTAAACTCTAACAATAAACCAATTATAAATATAGATTTTTAAAAAAAGGTAATATAAAAACAAAAGGAATGTTGCAGAAATTAATAACAATACAAACTTTAAGATGTTCTAGGTATGCGTTGATGTCCTTGACAAATATCTTTATTGTTTTTTCCAGTGTATTGAATCTCTTCTCATGCTGCTCAAATTCCTCATCTATAGTCTGCAAAAAGATTAAATCAATCAATACAAGTTGAATCTCTTCTCATTTTTTCAACCCTAATCAACAAGTTGTATCTTTATGTTTATATATATATATATATATATGTATATATTGAGGACGACAGAATTACCTGTATAAATACAAAAAATTAAATTATTAGACTTGAATAGAACAACACTCTTATACAATACTCCTGTATAAATTTACTCATGAAATAAATAAATATATATATATATATATATATATATATATATATAAATAGCTTAGCTAAAACAAAGATCATTCTAAGTAAATTTGAAACCACACTACAATTTGATTGGCTAAAAGTTTTGATGAGGTCACCTGAGCGCTCAATCCTGTAAGTTGTATCCAGCGTTGGTTCATTCTCGTGGTCTTCTTTTTGAAGGAGTGTAGGTTAATGCGTCCTAACTTGTCTGTTATAGCGGCTTGTTGTTTGCGATATTTCATCACTTCACATTATAAAAAAAGAACATTTATTTTGATTCAAATCACTTGAGTTGAGACAGAAATTTTATTGAAAAAAAAAGGAACGTTGCTTTTATATTTAAACGACATAAAGATGAAATAAACTTTATGTACATACGCAAGTACTTGATTATTTTCTTATCAAGCCATGTCAAACGGCGTCCAATGCTAGCTATAACATTACATAGAATCGGAATCGTAACCTATTAATACAACTGGGAACAGTATTAGAACTGCTAAAATCTGGTAAAATGAGGGCAACAATTTCCCATACTTCTGTTTAATCAATAATCAATTGGAGATCTTTTTCTATGGTAACTTTTTTTTTCTTTATTTTTTTTTATTTACAATTAATAACCAGGTGATTTTATACCAAATATTTGCCCACAGATTTTGAACAGACCACAATGGTTGTGAGTGAGTGCCACTGATTTAAAAAAAAAGTAATATATAATAATTAAATAACATTATAAATCAATAATTATAATAAACTCTAAAATTAAACCAATTATAAATATAGATTTAAAAAAAAGGTAATATAAAAACAAAAGGAATGTTGCAGAAATTAATAACAACAATACAAACTTTAAGATGCTCTAGGTATGCGTTGATGTCCTTGACAAATATCTTTATTGTTTTTTCCAGTGTATTGAATCTCTTTTCATGCTGCTCAAATTCCTCATCTATAGTCTGCAAAAAGATTAAATCAATCAATACATGTTGAATCTCTTCTCACTTTGTTCAACCCTAATCAACAAGTTGTATCTTTATGTTTCATTTTTTTAAGGGTGTATATATATATATATATATATATATATATATATATAATAGTGGCATGTGCGAAAACTTGACCATTTTGCCATGACATGCCTCATTTTATCATAAATAGCTTAGCTAAAACAAAGATCATTCTAAGTAACTTTGAAACCACACTACAATTTGATTGGCTAAAAGTTGTGATGAGGTCACCTGAGCACTCAATCCTGTAAGTTGTATCCAGCGTTGGTTCATTCTCGTGGTCTTCTTTTTGAAGGAGTGTAGGTTAATGCGTCCTAACTTGTCTGTTATGGCGGCTTGTTGTTTGCGATATTTCACCACTTCACATTATAAAAAAAGAACATTTATTTCGATTCAAATCACTTGAGTTGAGACAGAAATTTTATTGAAAAAAAAGGAACGTTACTTTTATATTTAAACAACATAAAGATGAAATAAACTTTATGTACATACACAAGTACTTGATTATTTTCTTATCAAGCCATGTCAAACGGCGTCCAATGCTAGCTATAACATTACATAGAATCGGAATCGTAAGCTATTAATACAAGTGGGAACAGTATTAGAACTGCTAAAATCTGGTAAAATGAGGGCAACAATTTCCCATACTTCTGTTTAATCAATAATCAATTGGAGATCTTTTTCTATGGTAACTTTTTTTTTCTTTATTTTTTTTTATTTACAATGAATAACCAGCATCCACCAAAATCGAAAAAAAAAAAAAAAAAAATTGGGAACGAAAGAATTACTGTACCTGTATAAATACAAAAAAATCTAATTATTAAACTTGAATAAAACTCAACACTCGTATACAATTTAGTCAAGATAGTTTAATCTTAAGCTACTAATTACAAAAATAAATCAAGCATTTTTTAATTTTTCAGTTCCATGTTCATAGACAGTTACATTCTCTCCACTCTAATGGATAGGAGTTGAATAGCTTTGTGGTTAACATGCTTGCTTTCGAATTCCAGAGTCCTGGGTTCAATTCCTGTCACTCATATTCATGTGAGAATGATGAAAAAATCGCTACCCACTTGAGTACCAGTTTTTTCACTTACCAATATCTTTTCTTCTCTTGAATTCATTGATGGACCCTGCCACATCCAGCATTGTTTTCCATGCCTTCTTAATATTCTCTTTGTCTTTGTGGTTATCATCGGTATGCTGTATAAAAACAGATCATAAATCATAAATCATAAACATCATCAGAATCTAAATGAGCAATAGTAGAAACATCAAGACCAAACATTCTTCTTTTTTGATATAAAATGTATATAAAAATTCATAATCTGTTTGGACACACGTTTTAGTTGCAGTGGTGGCAGCAAAACTTTCTCAACGATAGGGGAGGAGGAGGTAAGGAGCTAAGCAGTACGACAGGGGTGTCTGACAATTGGTTATTTTAAGTTGTTCTGGAGACCTCTGAGTGTGTCCTAAGAGGTCTCCAGAACAACTGACAATTGGGTTATCTTGAGTTGTTCTGGAGACCTCTTAGAACATACAACAGTAATCCGAAAAAAAAGGGGGGAAATGTAATTTTCGCCACTTTTTATTTTGAGACGTGCCGTTACCAACAGGGGGAACTTGGCCTATCCGATGGGAATGTTTAAGCTCCCTCTCCTGTGCTGGTGCTGCCACTGCTTAGTGGTGTTATGCTATTGAATCTCTCAAGATCAGCAGTAGTGCATGCTCACTACTGGAAAGAAGATTACACTTTCCTTGGTTAGTTGTCGTTTGTCCATTGTTATTGATGCTGACAGAGCATCTAGTTAAGATACAGTAAAACACAAACTAGAGTTGCACTGACCTTGTCTAGTTCACCAATCAGAAGCTGGTATTTGAGAATTCTTTGAACTGGTTTTATGAGGAATGATGCCAGGTCCCAACAATTTGTGCTTTTCCTAGAGAGTTAAAATAATACAATAACATCTGGCTAGTTGTTTTTAATTGAAGGAGGTTTTCATAATAATAATGATATAAATACTTTATTTGTCCTCATACTAATTGGAAATTTGGGCTGGGCCCCCGGGGACTCGTGGACAAATACGGATACAAACATTACCCTAACCCGCCTAACTTTCAAGATGAAGGCTATTCAAGGAGCCCACTGATCAGACTTCCAATTAAAACCCGATGATGGCTGGGTTAGAACTGGTGTCTTCACCAAAAGAAGCAGGAACAATATCATTCAGCCAACTGCTCAGCTCATCAGAGCTTTCTGATCCAAAATGTTTTTAGCTTATTATTTAAGTGCTTATTTAAGAGTGGGAATCTAATTTTTAAAAATCACTTTTGTGTGGGCCTTAAACAGTCACTGCCATAGCAGAGTTTGCTTCTCACAAAGCCATTCATAAAGTTAACTCTTATGTTGAGATCATGCACATGGCATTGGAAGGCAAGGACCCTAACATCCAAGCTACTTCTATACTCTACTTTGAATGCACCACCTTTGAGCATGTGCTCATTCTGACAATCCAAAAAAAAAAAACAAAAAAAAAAAACCCAAAACCCACTGAGACCAACTTACCTCACAACCTCCAAACCCTGGTTGATATATTCTAATATTTCATTATTTTCTTCATACTGAAATTAAATAAAAAATTGTATTTAAGTACTTAATTTCTACAACTCTAAATTATGATATCATTAATGCCAATGAGCAGAGTAACCAGGACAATTATTCTGGAAAAAAATTATGACAAAGCAAATTCCAGAATTTGTTTGTAAAGGACTGTGTACGCTGATTTAAATTTGGCGGTATTCTTCAATTCTGCCAGAGAAAAATTAAACTTTTGTGGTTAGCCACAATGATTTCAATTTGTCTACTCAGCAACAATGGTATGCCAGAAAATATTCCATCATGATGTCTGGATCAGTATCATCCAGTCCTAATATGTGTATCTGTCTGGAAATGATACTAATATTATGTTTTTGTGAATTTAAAATTGAATTTTCAGGACAAAATGAGATGTATCAGTCAAAAAGGGTTATGCTCTTCTAAATAAACTTTCTTGTTTTTATTATGTTCTGTAAAAACTTTTACTATACTAACATCACTTTCCCCAAAATTTCCTTTTCCGAAAGATGTGAACAGTTTAAATGATAAAAACAGTTGTTATAGCTGTAAAAAAACTAAGGATGGGTGATAGACATCTAAAGAGCAGTTTTCTGTAAATATCGATCGATTTCTGGAAAAGTTGGCCAAACTCAAAAAATAGATTTTTTTCATATTTTGGTTATGATTACACTTTGGTTGGAGACGAAAGAAAAACGAGATCTAAAAATTTTAAAAATATATTGTTGCCATGGTAGCAGGCATGTTGTTTTTACCAAAAAATGAGCAAATTTTAACAGTTTTTTAACCGAAAACTTGACCTGATGTTTAGAGGAAGCAGAATGCATAAATATGTTTTATGCCATACTGTATGTTTGAATAAAGGGTATAAAATTTGTGACGTCAGACAGAATAAAAAAAAAAAAAAAAAAAAAAAACTGAGTTTTTAAAAAATGTGTTTATTGCCATACTGTATGTTTGAATAAAGGGTATAAAATTTGTGACGTCAGACAGAATAAAAAAAAAAAAAAAAAAGAACTCAGATTCTACTGAATATGTTTATATGTATAATTATATTTTTAGTGAAGTAATGAGGTCTAGTGAAACAAAATATCGGGTCCTGAACCTATGATACTATCTCTTAATCAATTGAGAATATTTCGTTTTTTTAATGGCCGAATAAGGTTGCAATGTTTCTGATTCTATAAACTCCATAGATTAATTGATCTTATAAATTTCTTATTTTTTTATAAATACTTTTTGAATGCCAAAATGCATGTAGAACCTGAATTTTATTCAGCAGTAACATAATTATAGTGAGGTGGTGACAGTGCATGGAAGAGCATGTAGGCCTTTAAGAATTATTTTAATACAAAAATACAATATTATATGCAATGCTTATGTTTATATACATGATTTGCTGGATACAGTATATCTTATATGCAATGAAATAAGATATGTTTGGACTGCACAAGGTATGGTACAGTATATTACATTGTCTTTTACAATCATATATTATAATTTCCAAATAAGGTCAAATAAATAATTATTGTAATATCCAGGTCACCCATCATTGATATTCAAGTCCGATCTTTTATTTTTCACTTGAGACATTATCTCATTATAAAAGATTAAGTGTCTGACCTAGGTGTCTGAGCTAATTTACTAAGTTATAGTATTTCTTCTAACATATACTAAAGGTTTGGTAAACTAATGTGAATTAAATATTATTAGCAACCACTACAGCTATAGACAAAATAAACATTATGCTTTTGTGTGTTTGTAATAGATAAGTTTATTTAAAATGTTGGCCTCACTAAACTAACTTCACTATGATGTACATTTACTTAACTTCAGGCCAAAATATATTTATTATATTAAAAAAGGAAGTACACTTGTTTAAATGTTAACATTTATTTTAAATAAATATTTAGCATAGATAATTACAGGAATGTTATTGAATTATCAATCTCTTTATACACATGCTACATCCAAATTCAAAGAACTCAGTTTGATGCACACATTACACATAAAATTTATTTGGCTAAACTTGATCGATAATTCATTGTAAACTTTAGGCAAATATATATTTTATACTTCCTTATATTAAAGGCAATCACACTCTTTTAAAAGTTAATACTTATTTTGAATAAGTATTTACCATAGATAACTACATGGAATTTTAATGAATTATCAATCACATACACACATTCTATATCCAACTTTAAAGGAATTTTGACGCATGCACCGACATGAAAAGTTTTAGCCTTATAATAATAATAATAATAATAATAACAATAATAATAATAATAATAATAATAATAATAATAATAATAATAATTTTAATAATAATAATAATATTATAACAATAATAATAATAATAGCGATTATAAATTTTGATATGTGCCGCATGTGTGTGTTGAATAATCGTAATATTAAATAAAATTCACATTATGATCAAGACTTCCATACGTCATGGTCATAATGTAACTTACTGTAACTCTGATAAGAACAACCAAATTTGGTTTTTTGTGCATTCACCGGCTAGCCATCAAATATGCATAATTAATTATTCTCGCCTCTGAAGGAGGAGGCGATGTTATTGCAATCACGCACGTCTGTATGTTTATAAAATCTTAAATTAATATTTTTTAGAAATTTTAATATCATACAATGTAAGTTTTGATTATTTGATTTGATAAAATTTAACTCAATGCAATTTTTATGCACCTACCTCAAAGTATAAGAAAGTGATATACATTATGCCAAAAAAGCAAAACTACAAACATTTCTGACAACATAGCTTTAACAGGATTACAATGCCCAATGTTCATTCTTCTTTTTTCATTTATATTAGCCAAAGTTCATTGTTCTTTTTTCATTTATATTAGGTCCAATCAACATGGCTTTGCAAGAAAAAATCATTCAAAGCGTTACCATAAATGTTATAAAGCTCCAAACTTGGGCCTAAATTGGAATTTTCGAAATATGCAAAAACACCCCTATTTCAAATAAATGGTATGGTCCATTTTATCCCCCCATCCGCATTTTTATGCTTTTTAATTTGTAAAGATGTCTTCAGCCTATCTTGCAAGAGTAGTAAAATTAAATTACTCTATTCTATGTAAATAAGATTTGCTGGAATGCAAATTTAATGATATTTTACTGTAAAAGTTACAAAAATTACATGTATGTAAAATCCGAAAAAATGGCTGTTGCTTTGACAAGAAGACACGAAAACCTAAATTAATACTATTTTTGTTTGTTTAGGCCAAAAACCTTTCACAATGCAATTTTAAAAAAAAATCTATTTTTTTGTTGTGGCCATCTAAAGGTTGATATTTACAGGCAATTGCTCTTAAATGTTTGGTAGGTGATAACATTAATAAAACTCTAAATATTACGAGTGGTTTTAAGGATGGAAAAGTGGGTTAATAAGGGTGGATGGAGAACCATGAAACTATCTTTAGACTGGGTAGAAAACTCCTAGACTGGGTGGTAATGATGAGGCAAATTACATCTTTGGAGTAAGCCTTGGAGTGCTGCCTCATCATACCTGTTTATTAATTTATTTTTTTATGACAATGACCCAAAACAAAGCTAATGAAGCCACCTTAGTTGAGGAATTACATATTCAAAAGAAACTGTTTGCATGAGGTTTAAATTGAGCCGGTTGATAAACAGTAAATATGGCCATCATGAGATGTCACACATCAAAGTATAGGTCTCCCTAATCCCAAGAATAGTTTTAATTGGAGGGAGACCTGCAATTGCTTGAAACTCACTTTTTCTAGCAGTGCGGTTGCATCATCGTGATTCCTACAGTATTGTTTGTAGACTTCTTCTAGATCTTTACAGTGTTCCATAAAGCAAGCACCTGTAGAATATCAATCATTGAATAATACTAATGTATCAATGTCTTCATAGGCGCACTCATGACGTAAAAAAAAAAAAAAAAAAAAACACATACAAGAATTAAACCATATTATTATATAGCGGAGTGGTTGGCTGAGTGGATTGTTCCTGCTTCTTAAGCTGCAGACCCCGGTTCAAACCCAGCCAGTGTTGGGTTTGAATTGGGAGTCTGAATGCTTGGCTCCTCGAACTGGTACTGGGTATATATATTGTGCCTTTCCCTTGCGGTTATGAAGCTACAGCCAAGCCTCAATAATTCAGGAAAACAATAGTAGGCATAAAATCAGTCATTATCCTAGTTTCACAATTAGTAGTCATACAAACCACAAAGACAACTAAACAGATTACAGCAATAAAACACAAAAAGGAAAGAAAAGGATCTGAGATTATTCCAATGTTCAGAAGCATAACAAGGAAATGAAAAACCTTCAATTCTCTTTTAACATGGTATAATGAAATGTACAGATGAATAGAAACGTTTTGTACAAGTAGGGATACGTTGGTCGAGAAAACAATATAAATAGTTAGGAGAAAAACCATAGATACATTTGTAAACAGTGAGAAAAATTTTGAAAATAATTCTATTATTAACTCGCAGCCAATGAAGTTCATTGATGAGAAGAGAACAATTCTCACATTGAGAGTTTAGACAGGTTAAAGACAATGTTTGTATCCGTACGTGTCTATTATGTGTTGTAGTTAAGTTGGGTAGCACTGCACTGCGGTTGTCAAAGGTCCCCAGTGGCCCAGCCGAATTTCAGATTTCCAATTTGAATGAGGACCAATAAATAATTATTGTTATTATTATTATTACTATCAATATTATCAAAATTAGTATTACTAAAATATTATTTTACTCCTAATCATGCTAGATTGTCCATTTTGCGGCGGGTATACACATCTGTTTTAATTACGATTAATACACGCGTTAAAATTATTATATATATAATAGACTTTCACCTAGTAAATATTGATTTGGTCTTAGGATTTTCCAATTGAATTTATCGTATTTAAAATGTGTTCGCTTGATGGCCATGCGAAAATCAGTTATTAAATGTTTGTTTATCAAATATGAATAAGCTTTAAATATTGACTGATTCCTCTTTATACTGTATTCAAAAGAAGGTTACATAAGCAATTAACAAAACATTTAAACATACTTTAATAATTGAAGAATTAATGTACTGTATTGCTACTCTGAATAATACTGCTTTCAAAATAAGTTTAGGTAGCCTAGGCCCTTAATGCTACTACAGTACTAGGCCAAATGTGAGGTCAACATCGTGCATGCACTGTGCATGTTAATTTCTTCCGGTCTCTGTAAGGCACAACTCTCCAAGTCAAGTTGCTATTGTGATATAACGCGAATAAAATTCGACTTTGCTTTAGTCAAATTAAATGGAAGTCGAACTATCTTTCAGTGGCACTTTCGATTTGACTTGGGCGAGTTTGACTGTAATAAAATCGTTATACCTGTACTTAAAATACATTCGTCGTTAGCATCGCCTTAATTTTGGTATTGATCGCCATCACCACCATCATTATAACCATCATTAAATCATCATCATTAACTTTATCTATCTTTATAACAAAATGCAACTTTGAGGAGCTGATACCATTACTATTATTATCATTATCAACACAAACTATAAATAATTTTAATCACCCTCCTCACTATCATTGTTGTCATTATCACTTTCATCATTTCTGCAGTTATTGTGCATAGCACCAATGTACAACAGAGATGCATGGAAAAATACAGATATTAATTTACAAACAATTTACCTATCAGCTGATCTTGCGGAGGGACATCAACAATCGTTTCTTTAAGACTTTCTAAAAACTTCCCAGAAACTTCAATAACCTGATCAATGTTCCCGAAGAGTATGTCAAGTTCTAAGCCTTTAGTCTGAAAGGCAAAAAAATGTAATTAGTTAGTCCACAAAATATTAATTAATAATTATTCAAAACCTTAGTTAAAACTGGTCAATAGTCAACAATTGACTAGACAATAGTCAACAAAACTGGACAATAGTCAACAAACTGGTCAATTAGTCAACAAGAATCAACTACAGTAATTACAGTAGTCAAGAAACATTAATTCAACAGTGTAGCATTAGCAAAATTTATTGGTAAAAAAATTCAATTTATAGCTAATGAGTACATGAAAACTAAAAATAACTGTATTGAGAATCTGAAATTTTGCACTTCTTACTGAAGGGTACTTCAGTGAGTAATATGAATGATTAGTTAGATATATAAGTTAGTTTTCAAGATGCCACAAGAATTCCAATGGGATATGCATTCCAGTACAAACCTTGCTTTAGAACACAGAGAGGCCACATCCATATGATATACAGTATTACTGGTTCCCAACTTTTTTCCATCCTTGGACCCCTCAGGACATGTTAATATTCTTCACGGACCCCACCCCACCTCACCCCCACCCCCCAAGTCTAAGTTTACTTATTGTCAATATTTCACCAATAGGATAAGATTTTAGATAGGATATCATTCTCTACAACAGAAAACAACACAACTATTTCATTAAGGATCCTAATGATGATTATAGCAATAAGATGTTTAACATTAAACTCTTGTAAAATAAAAAAAATTAGTAGAATATGTCTAAAAGTCAGACGGACCCCCAACATCTTTTGTGGGCCCACTGCAGACCTTTTTGACTTGGCAGACCGCCAATTATTATTCCACGGACCCCAGGTTGAGAAACAAATTGATTTACAATACATGGAATAATAATCTGTTGATTAATATTAAAATTACAGGTCTCCCTCTAATTAAAGACCACTTTTGGGACCGGGGGTTTTCATGGCACTGTGTGAAAGGATATATACCGGTTATTATGCCGGCATGCTTACCGCAATATTGCAGCAACGTCTACCTGAAAGGGGCTATTGAGATACAGAGGTTATGTGCAGCATCATGTGTGTATTTATATGTCACTTTCCATCTGTCTCTTATACACATCTAGATGTGTATAAGAGACAGCTACTAGAAGCAACGTCTACCTGAAAGGGGCTATTGAGATACAGAGGTTATGTGCAGCATCATGTGTGTATTTATATGTCACTTTCCATTCAGCTTCGATTCATCAGCGCTTCAATTATGTTGTGAAAGAAATTACCACTTGTTATAGAAAGTGATTAATCTGCCATTGGCAATCCATAGTACAGTGGCCTGCATTAAATTATGTATTTTACTGTATATTATAAAGACATGACTGCAACATATTATAGACAGTGGATGCATTATGAAATCAGAAGGAGCCAGAAAAGGTATGATCATATAATTGTTAAGTTATAATTATTTTGTACATGGTATGACATGCACAAACATTCTTCAGAAATTTAAAATTTGATTTCAATAATCTGCTATATTTCACTTTTATTTTAATAGCTAGTTCTCACTTTCAGTTGTTCGTTTCTTCACATCATTGTTTATTGATAATTTATTAATTAATCACCAACACTAAATTCAGAAAAGAGTCAGAAACATAGTAACAATGACATTGTTACTACTTTTCTGACCTCTGACCTATCCTGTCATTTATATTTTTTACACTGTTTATTGCACATGCCTTAGCCCCTTTGTCTCATTTAATGCTTGAATAATTAGCTTACTTTGTCTATCCACACTGTTTATGTTTAGCTTCACATTCACCTGAAGAAGTGCACTGTGTGCATGAAAGCTAGTGTACTGTCAAATAAACTAGTCTTTAAAGTATTAAATGTTTTTTGAGTTTTATTTTTCTATTACATCAGACTATTACAGCTCATCTATTTTTATATAATTGCAAGTTAGTAAAACTTAGTGTGGGTCATGTTTGTAAACAGATGTATGTGAATGAGACCTAAAGAAACCAAGACGTTTAAAAAGGTACAAACATTATAAAAATTAAAAAAATAAGACACCCCAAAAAAAAATAAGACACTGTATAATGAATGAAATTAAGAAATGCCCAGGAAGGTGAAGTTATAATAAAGATAAAAGAACCCCAATAAGAAATCACATGCACCCAAAAAAAAAAAAAAAAAGGAGGCAAGCCAGTAATGCTAGATGAAAAACTTAAAATATATATCAAGCTTATTTTATGAAGGTAAAGAAAGTTAAGCCAAGAATTAGTTGAGTCAGGAGACAAGAATACCTATAAGCTTAAGTAAGAAACCAGTACTTAAATGCTAAGTAAAATTCAGATTCAATATAGATACCAAGATCAATACCAAGATCAAGTTATTTATGAAGATAAAGAAAGGTAAAACCTGAAAGAGTGCTCAAATAATTATGTAAAGTTTTCTGTGTGTGATTACCGAAGTTCTCTGACGTACCGATACACCTGTTTCGTCAGTACAGCACTGAGTTTACTTACAGCGGCAGATTCAAGGAGGTGGGGGGGGGGGGATGCACAAGCCTGCCCAGGGAGCCCCCAACATTTTTTGAAATTATAAATATAATGGATGGAAGGGGAAAATTTTAACCAAATATAGGCCATTTTTGGCCATCTAGAGGTGCCATAATCAAAACTTTTCTTTCCCCGGTCGCAACTACGGTGCGGCTGAGGTGGTGTAGACTATCCATCTGGTGTAGTCCCCCAAAGCCTCCCTCTACTTCAAATTCCTGGATCCACCCCTGATTTTTACTGTACAAAGACACTTAAACATTTTTTTTTGCAGGAGGTGGGGGGGGGGGAAGGTTTTGCAGGAGGTGGGGGGGGGGGAAGGTGAGGTGGGCATATACCCGGGAAATCTGTTTATCAACAAATTTACAGTGATGGCCAGTCAAAAGGCAAATTATTATTGCAAGTATTTGCAAAAAAGTCAGCAAAGATACTCATATTCAAACCATGAACTGGGCTTATGCCTAAGAATAAACTGTGGCATGAAGTAGGATATAAAATACAGGGTGTGTTTATATATCAGATGAGCTTATACCTGGGAAACAATGCTAATTATTATGATTATTATCAATATTATTATTATTGTCTCTGTGGTCTTATTAAATATAAACAACACATTATTTTAAAAAATGATATGATTTGTAATGGAATGAAATGTGCTGCAATACAAAAAAAAAAACATTACTGGAACCATGGTACCTTTATGATGGTGAATTGTGAAATAGAAGTTAACGAACAAGGAAGAATTTAGAAATTTAAGATTGCAGAATACATTGGAAAGAGTTAATTCGGTTATGGCGGAAGATGGCAGAATGCCCCGAAGAAAATAATGACTGTTAATCTTCACGATGCAATTCTTGAGAAAAACGTGTCCTTAACAGTTGTGGTGTATTTAGGAGAAATGACAAGGGGAAGGGGGATTAATGGTGAGGAAAGGTTAAATGGGTGGCTTATTTATCCGCCCCTGGGAAAATAAGGCGATATGAGGTGATTTTCAATTTCTTGAGTGTCATTTTTTACTCAGCAATATTCTGGAAAGGGTGGGGGGAGAGAGGGTAGGTTGGTTGCACCTACAGGGGCGCAAGCTACTTTTGAGAGGACGTATCCCCCCTCCTACCTCCAGGATACACCACTGCTTAACAGGAAAATTCCAATTCCAACACGTTTTTCTCAAAAAAACTATGATGCAAGCCAACAATGCAATCAAAGATGAGTATGAAAAAAGCAGCACCCTCAGACTACAAGATTAGAAACCGCAGATTAAAGATCTGTATTGCATCAAGAAAATTTCCATGATTATAGTAAAAATACAATGGTTTAGTGCTCCACATATCCAAAAAACAGTCAACTGCCGTAGTCAAAATTACTATTAATATATATATCAAATTTTAAAACGTTAAGTTTCTTTGTGCGTGTGAGGTTGTAGCACCTTCTTTTTATCCTCTGATTTCTCGGATGAATCTTCAACCTCCATGGCAAGAATTACATTTATCTCGTCCTGCAATGATAGTTACAAGGCCAATACACAAAAACAATGTTACAATTAATTGAAATGGGCTTTAATTAAGAAATAAAAATAAATAAAAATAATGTTTGTAAAAAACTAATATAGTGCGTGAAATTCAAACTTACAAATAAACATATTAAAAATATTAATGCCCCTAAATCTAGTAAATATTTTTTTTTTTCAAATGCTGATTGGCGTAATAATTATTATATGTGACCGGCTCCGGCAAAACCGCCCGTTTTTCAAAATTTCTAATTTTGCACAAGCAACCAAAATGTTTGGGAATCAGAATTTTGAATATTTTAGGTTTTTTCATCTTGTAACAGAAGATATATTTAAGAACATAAATAAAATATCAATCAATAAGCCTAACTAAAAGGTATATTAAAATTATTTTTAAGATACAAATCTTAATAATAAACTACTGATTTTGGTTGGTTTTTTTTTTCTCAAAACCTACATGGCTGATATCTAATGAATTAAATATTCATAACTTCACTAATACTCAACCAATTTCCATCAAATGACCACATTTTTAATGACGAATACACACAGAATATAACAATACCAAAAGTTTTAAATTTAAGTTTTCCAATAAACGGCTGGTTTTGCCAGAGCTGGACACTAATTTTCACTCAAATGTTAAATTAACACTATTATTATGACAAAATGAATAAAGCTTTATGCCAAAGCAAGGCAATAACAGCAATAACCTTTTTAATGAAAAATGGAGAAATTGCAAAAAAATTTAGGATGTGGAGTAAAGTCATTTAAGATGAGATTCTTTGTAGTTTGTACTCTGTTAAAAAAATGTCAATCGACATAAAGCAAGCGTTTAACACACACACTGACTGGGCTGAGTTAGGACTCGGAGAGGCCTATGCAGTGTTCTCAGGGGTTTATTTAAGAGCCGGCGGCCGGCGCATTCGATCGGCTATTACGATGTTTTCGCCGGCTACTTCAATCAACTCGGAGAGGCCTATGCAGTGTTCTCCTTAAGCTGGTTTAGCTGTCAATCTTACCAGTACAAATACCGGGCCAACCAGTAAAAAATTGTGTGTTGGTAGAATAAAAAAACACACTTATTAAGTCTGGGTAGTCTAGGCTGGCTTTCTTTCAATAAATAGACATTTAATAAAATGGACATCATTCCAGTCGACGACTAGGCTATGACGGTTTGTATCGTGTTTGTAAAGCCATTGAACCTCATGTAAAAGGGGTAACACCTCACGCTGTGCACTTAGCTGACTGGACAAATTTACCTGTAAAAATATTTCAATTGGGAGAACACTGCTATGGAATTGTCTGAAAATAGTGGACTATGATACATAATTTGAAGAATACTTGCATGATATGGCTACTATTTTAAATTATAGTACTGTTACACAGAGTTTCCAAGAAATCCAAACGATTCCAAAGGCTGTGGCAATTTGGAGGCCTATGTTGTGTGTGTTAAGAGCTTATGTCGACTGAACTTCTACAGTATACGAGCATTAGCAGCTCAAACTATGAAGTGGCATATTGATTAATCAAGATAATCAATCAGTAAATTTTAAATCAAATTATAAATCTAACTGATCATTCAACCAGATGATAAATCAGTAAAATCATTATTTAATAATCAATGAAGAAATAAATCAATTTGTCTAAAAATCAATCATTAATCTATAAATCAATCAATTCATTTAAATAATCATCTATCTGTAAATCATAATTACAGAAAGCTGAATATTAATTTCAGAGGTATTTATTTCAATTATGTGAGCAATGATGGCCTTTTAAATTATAAAAGCACAATTTTGTTGTTTTTGGTAAGCATTCAACAAAGAGAATTTTATAATTTAAGAAATACAAGCAACAATACAAGACAATACAACATACATAAAATTTAGCACAGGCTTCCTAAAATATGTAATAGGCCTACCCTGGAAATTATAAACAATCACTTGAAATTATATATCAAATATTTTTATTAATTGTTAACTGCCAATATTGGTTAATATACAGAATATAAATTCCATCTATATACCTCTTTGTCTTCTAGTATGGTCATAAAACCTTGACGGCAAAGTATGATGTCGCGTTGATAAGCCTCTTCGGTGTTCAGAAGCTCATTCACAACCTTTTCCCGCATCTCTGCTTTCTTCTTCTTGGCTGCTTGCTTCTCGTCTGGCTCCAACTCCTCTATTTGTTCTGTAAAAAACATAGAAAGTATGACACATTATACAAATATAATGTAATATAGAATTCATTAATGAATAAAAAATAAATATTATCTTTTTACATAGTTTTATTATCATTACAATTACAACCATTACCAATACCGTAAGCTCAGTTGGTAGATCATAGGTTCCCAGTTTTCTCCTGAAAATCAAGACAGCCTCCTACATTCTTGTAAGCTAAAATCTCTCAGAAACTAACCCATTCATTATAGGCCTATTTATATTACACATTTTAAGTAATTTGTTTTCAATAAACCTTTGCAGGGTTGAAATACAAGGTATACTGTACTTGTTTATGCAAATTTGTCCCTACTAAATTTTAATTATTTTATTATCACAATTGGGTCATCTAAAAAATAATGATACCCTATACTAATAAAACAATATTTAAAACAGTGATAAAATGATTTAATTTTCAAAATGTGTATGTATATTAAATACACATAAACCAATCACAACAATAATAATACAAAATGTATTATTCCAGTTTCAACTACAGCCAACTCTCCCAATACCGACCACCCAGAAAACCGGATTTCACGCAAAACCGGTCGTTTTTTAAAGTCCCAAAATCATTCCTATTCTTACTGTATTAAATACTTTCTGAAAACCGGATCTCCCAATTCCGAATTCCGGCCAAATTCTTAGGTCCGGAAAATAAAATTACCTTCTGAAAACCGGACGGCCAGTTTAAAACGATGATTTATTTACGAAATATGTTAAATAAATCATCGGAGACACATCGACTGACTCCAAATAACAACTATCAATCACAGAACAACACCATGTGTACGATCGTTAGTGTTGATCGTGTGACACGCCGATAGCGCATTAATTAATAATTTGCAATAAGCCTAGATTTCATTTGTTTAATAAAATGATAAAAAGAAGTTTACGAGTGTGTTTTCTTTATTAAGGAATGTATCCTTTTCTCACATTTTGCATTCATTCTCACGCTAAGGCAAACCAAGCAGTCCCAACATAAGGCTATCGATTTCATAAAAACAATTGCGCATGACACTTTGAATGTCACCTCTGACTGTTTTCTATTGGCTGACGCAGTTTAGGGGGCGCTGTTAGCACTTATTTTTAGCATTCAGTGTGACCCACCAAGGTTATGCCAGCAGCATCGAAAACCAATCAAGCGTGCAACCACGTTGAAGCGAAGCAGATTATGGCGATCGAACGAAACATAACACTGACATTATAAATTACGATACACATTAAGTTGACTTGTGTAAATTTTTATTGATAATAGACTTCCACACAAAAAAATAGGTACGTACAACATAAATAATGTAAAAATAAAGTAAAACATGAATTTTAAATGACGTTCTCAGGTCAGTAGGCCTACACAGTACATGATGCAGTGTGGTGTACCTATCTGCTGTACCTTGCTAGGCCTAGG